ACCGTTTGAAAGTGAGAGCCATGGGCATCTAGGTGGGTTGGCGCCCAGACAAAGGGATTTAGCGAATTAAAAAAGACCCGGATCGAATTGAGTTTTGATTGGATTTCTAGAATTTGAACGCGTTTGACGTTGAACCCCTATAGTCTTGCCCCCTTAGACCCTTAGAAATAATAAAAAAGACCCCTGAAGTGCGATCGACTTGCCCAGAAGCGCGTCATTGCCAAGCCAGGGTCCACTCAGGGTTTCATGGAGGCAGCAGGATAATTCGGGGTTATAGTTAGTGTGTGTTAGTAGTATAAGATGTATATAGGTTATATCTACGGAGTACATTGAACATGTTTGATATACCAAGGTAGTGATACATACCTCTTATTATATAAATGTCCGTACATTTATACATAGTTAATGTATCTTTCCATCATATGTTAAATACCAAGGGACCTGACGATCCAAAGAATCGAATAAATAAATAACAAGCCCAAACGAACCAATCAAAGGCATTGATTCAGGGTCATCCCCACATAAAATCCACATTAAATCCACTGCAATAATGACCCTTGCTGATCAGGACAAAGCAGACAGCCAATGTACATAGTACCCTGCCGGTCCCTTGGCGGTAGCACAGCCCAGCCCTTTGCCGCTTGGAGGGGGCCTTGGCCTCATAACCCTTTCATCCCTTGCCTTTTCTCTCTTTCTTTTCATTCTTTCTGACCTCACTTTCGTTTCTCAGTCTGTCATTCACTCTCTTTTAATACTCTGAGCGCATCTATTTTTTCCCACTCTCGTTCATCCCAATTTTCGCTCGTTTTCACTTATTCTCACAATGAAGTCTTCCGTAGCCTCCATGGCCACGGCCATTACCCTGGGCGCCTCGACCGTCCTCGGTGCCGCAACCAACATCAAGGCCCGCGCCAGCGATATCACCCCCATCACTGTCAAGGGTAACGCCTTCTTCAAGGGCAGCGACCGCTTCTACATGCGTGGTGTCGACTACCAGCCCGGTGGTTCTTCCGACCTCAGCGATCCGATTGCTGATGCCGATGGTTGCAAGCGTGACATCGAGAACTTCAAGGAATTGGGCCTGAACACCATCCGTGTGTACTCTGTCGATAACTCCAAGGACCACGATGAGTGCATGACTGCCCTCGCTGAGGCCGGCATCTACCTTGTTCTCGATGTCAACACCCCCAAGTACTCCATCAACCGTGCCGAGCCCGAGATGTCCTACAACGATGTCTACCTCCAGTACATCTTCGCCACCATGGAGAAGTTCGCCAAGTACGACAACACCCTGGCCTTCTTCTCCGGTAACGAGGTCATCAACGACGGTCCCTCCTCCAAGGCCGCTCCTTACGTCAAGGCCGTCACCCGTGACATGCGTACTTACCTCCGCGCTCGCAAGCTCCGTGAGGTCCCCGTCGGTTACTCTGCCGCTGATGTCGACACCAACCGTCTCGAGATGGCCGAGTACATGAACTGCGGTACCGATGATGAGCGCAGTGACTTCTTCGCCTTCAACGACTACTCCTGGTGCGACCCCTCTTCCTTCACCACCTCCGGCTGGGACCAGAAGGTTAAGAACTTCACCGGTTACGGTCTCCCCCTCTTCCTCTCCGAGTACGGTTGCAACATCAACACCCGCAAGTTCCAGGAGGTCAAGGCCCTCTACTCCACCGAGATGACCCCCGTCTACTCCGGCGGTCTCGTCTACGAGTACACCGAGGCTGGCAACAAGTACGGTCTGGTCAAGATCAGCGGTGACAAGGTCACCACCAACAAGGACTACGATGCTCTCAAGACCGCCTTCGAGGGCACCAAGAACCCCACCGGCAACGGCGGCTACAACTCCACCGGCGGTGCCTCCGGCTGCCCCAAGATGCAGAAGCCCAACTGGGATGTCGACTCCGACTCTCTCCCTGCCATGCCCGCCCCCGCCAAGAAGTACCTGACCGAGGGTGCCGGCAAGGGTGTTGGTTTCGCCGGCAAGGGTAGCCAGAACTCCGGCACCAAGTCCTCCGGCACTGCCACCCAGGGCTCTGGTGAGGTCGCCGCTGCTACTGGCAGCAGCTCTGCTGCCTCCGGCACCAGCTCCACCGGTGCCGCCCCTAGCCTCAAGCCTTTCCAGTTCAGCTTCGCTCCCGCCACCGTCGGCCTCGTCACTGTCCTGTCCACCGTCTTCGGTGCCAGCTTCATCCTCCTGTAATGCTCCTACCTTTATTTTTTTTTTTTTTTTGAAGGGGCTTCACGTCTTTTTCGATTCTCCCTGACATGTATCTTTTTTTAAACTGGCTTTCATCTTTTACCCTGTGATGATTATCGCTTGGGCTTTGCAAATTGGAGGATGGCGAGATGCTTTCTAGTTGGTGTATAGCAGTCCTTAGTATCTACGCCTAGTGTTAAATGAAACGGAGCTGAACTGCTCATATATTCTCATACTTGCTAGTCAGATGTGGTAGAAGAACAACCCCTCCTTTTCAATCCGTATTCCACTCAGTAATTCCAACCTTCAAACAGCCTCCGCAAGAGCTTCTCTCCGCGACTTGGACAACGGATCAAAGTATGGGATCTCCCCAAGTGAAACAACCCGATTACCCTGACGCTTCCCGCCGTAGTCACTGTCCTCAATTAGCATTGTAGCTATAAAACAAAGCAGAAACTAGTACTCACTTGGTAGCAGTATGATAAACTGACCGACTAAACACATAAACGTCAGTATATTACTAGTATGATTACTGGTGTAATCTTCAAGAAGTATCATACTTATCCCAAATAGCAAGATCATTCTTCCCCCATCTAAACCGAACCTGCAAATCATGGTTCTCGAAGAGAAGCTTGTTGACTATATATTTCAAAGATTCGTTAGCGAACTATTTTCCAGTTTCCAGTTTCCAGTTTCCAGTCTCCAGGATATAGATGAACTCACATAGTTTCTTCAAAACCTGACTTTCGAGCTGCGTCACACCTTCAATCCAGCCGTGCTCGACCTGCTGTCCCGCACCGAAGAGACTCTTCCAGCCTGTTACGGGGTTTGTTCTGATGAGGGGACTATTTGATATAATGGTCAGTTAAACCAATTGCAATTGCAATTGGTGGATTAGAAAGGACACAAAATAGTTAGCGCATGGGTGAGTAGTGTATCTTACTGCGTCGCCTTGAAATCAAATCCTGTATTCTCCGGTGCGCCTCTATCACCCTCGATGAGCTCTATACCTTGTTCTTTGGCGATCTTGTTGAACGAAGGCTGGGTGTTGTCAGTACATTTGCTGTCTTTCTATATATTGTTTTGGGAAAGTCGGGAGAATAGAGTGCTTCTGCGTACCTGGTGATGCACGACCTTCAACTCCTCCGCTAACTTCTGGATAGTCGGCGACAGTCTATCATACAGCTCATATCCCGAAGCCCAGAGGGTATCACCGCCAGATTGGTCTTCGGGGAGCTCTGTGATCTTCAGTAAAGCGTAGTCGGATGGGACGTGTTCGAATGTTATACTTTAAAAATGGTTAGCTTTTTGATAAAAATTCAGGGTTGGAAATTGGAGGATGACATACTCTGCGTGCCATCCTTCGCTTGCCAGACGACCGCTATTTGGCTTGTACCTGTCGCCGTATAGTTTGCGGTAGGACTATAGTGGTTGGTTAGATTTACCGAGAGGAAATTGGGGGAGAGGTCATACCTCGGATGAAATGACGGAGATTTCATCGTCTAGACGGCCGTTCTCGTCGACGGCAATTCCTCTCTTGCTGTTTGAGACCGCGTGACGGTGAAGCTGTTGGTTTTAGTATATGCTTTCCAATATATATCAAGGACAATGGGAGGGTCTAATCACCTTTGATGTACTCGGCTTCCCACTCAATTCGCCCAGCTTCTGTCCAAGAACCTTTTGCTCCTCGGAAGAGATATCCTGGTCGCGGAAGAAAACGACTCCTCGTTGGGAGACTAGGTAGCGTTAATGTTTGTTTTGTTCTAGTGAACTTCGGATCAGTATGAGGTATAGTGAATTGAACTCACCAAGAATTGCCAAGTCCCGAACTTTGGTCTCATCTTTCAGAATCTCGGTCAGTTGCACATGGGGGAATTCTGTCCCAATAATGGGTGTCGAATCGAAGTTCTCATACTCTTTCAAGCTTCCCGATGACTTGAGTGGCTCCCGGAGAAGACTGGCTTGCGGGGTATTGATGTTCTTGGCTTTGAGATCTAGAACCTCGGAAACGTTCTGAGTATCGAGAGCTGGTGACATTGTGCTGTTTATGATATATCTTATGTGTGTTACAGAATGAATTGTATCGCCTATCTCCAGGAGTATATGCTCCTTATATGTGCGATACGCCAAGTATACTTCCCATATTTCCCCTCAGAATCCGTAAATACGGTTGTCTATCCCGGGCTGTGATCTTGCATCATCGCCTCTAAAGTTTCATCTTCGAGGCACGGATTGGCCTATCTCGTGATCACGACACAGCACTGACACTTTGGATATTGTTGTGGTGGGATGGTGTGATATCCATGCCGTTGAGTTGGTCAATTGAGGGTTCCTATCCGTGTATATGTGTAGCAATTTGCGTCGGATATGGCGTATGAGAGGGTTGGACCTAGTGCAAAATCCGGATTTCACTTCATACTATTGACAGGCTTAATAATGTTACGGGTAACCCAGCGAGTTTATAGTTTACAGACAAAAGTTGTTTGGAGGATTGTGCGCGAAACATATTTATTGATAGTCCATCTTTTGTTGTATAAAAATCCACATATCGTTGTGACTAAAACATCAACTATATAGACTCGATAGACAAAGCCAACTCCTATCCACCACAACGCTATAGAAATAGATATATAAATCTGCAAATCAGCCATCAGGGAGCTCACCAGTGTGATCTATATACTCGGATATTAGATAAAAACCCAGGAAAGCAAATCAAGCTGCCCCTAAACCCGAACGATGAACACGACGAGAACTAGGAGTGGGGAGAAGCCTGAGACGACTGAGAGGGATGAGAACTGGCTCAGCCAATCGGCTCAATATCAAAACGCATATGTAGGTTACCTGACAAAAACCAAGTATTGATTCTAGGGATCTGACGAGTACCTCTGGGCCAAGCGGCTAGAACAAGACGAGATGTTGCCCTCCCCAGCTTTGTTCCTAAGATTTGCTGGACCTCCGGAGTATGCATGCGCCAAATTCGAAATGTTGATTCGGTTTCACTACCAGGACCGGGAATATTTTTGTAAAGCACCTTCCCCACCAAGGGTTGTGTCTCCGTATTCTCAACCGTCGTGTAGTAAACATACCGAAGAGTGTCGATCGCGGCCTCATGTTTGTATAAAGCTAGAGCAACGTCATTCCATTGGGGTCCCCGTTCCTTTCTGTAAACCGCTTTAACAATGATAGCACCCTCTACAATATAATGCTCGTAACTGGGCACCTTCCTCATTGCCTCACTGCTGTTCATTTTTGAATAGCGGTAATTCTTCACTCTCGTATCATGTGGGAGGCCTGCCGATTTTAGAGTCCCCCTGATTTCAGCCGGTGGGGCAACGAAGCCGACTTCCCATAGATCAAATATAGCCTTCCTTGGGGGATTATCCCTGACTAGATCGTCAAGGGTTAGTGTGGACTGGACCACTGGACATGCAGGACCAGTTGGGTTGGTGTTGGCCATCCAGTCTTCGAACTGAGCCCCTGTCGCTTGATAACGGTTGACTGTTTCCCTTGGAGGTGTTTTCTCTACTATGTGAATTTTGTCTGGGTTTATGAACGCAGAAGCATTACTCGCGTACATCCGCATTGTCCTGGGACTCTCAGGTAAGTCGAGGGTGTCTGGATTGGGATATCTTTCTCGAGCACGGTTGAGCCTTTTAGCTAGGCGGAGATCGACGCTACTTGTACGTTTCCGTTTTGAGGCCTTGGGAGTAGAGGGAGGTTCTTTGGGATCATCTCCACCGTCAGCGTTACCAATACCAAAGAAACTTTTGATTTTCTGCTTGATGGGGGAAGGTGTAGATTCAGACATCGCGTGAAAAATTTCGAATGAAAGTAATAGATGTGGATTCGGAAGTCCTGGAGGGGTTCTGATCTTGTGATTCAGGAATTGATATACTTGACTGGCTTAGCTAGATACTGGACCAAGCAGATATTATATAGTTTTGTACAAAGGGCCATGTAAGAGAGCCAGGCCCTTGACCGAGTCAGGGGTCTATATTAAAATGAAACAGATAATGCAATGGATATGTATAGAAACTCGAACAACAAGGGGATTCAAATATAGATGGGGAGAATGGGTCGGTTTGAACAAGTGATTTAACAATAGAACAAAGAGACCCTCTCTTTGAGAGGTGGGGTAATCTTATACAGATTAAATGTCCCAACTTCTGGGAGACCAACCGATCGGTCAGATACAAGAAGATCTTCATCATACTATTTGTTGTCATCTGGCGGCAGTTGTGCCTGCGACTCTGAAGTCGCCATGATGGAAAATGATGAATCAGGGGTAGAGAGGGGGCTTCATAATCTGTTGCAATGAAGTACTACGAGGGGTAAAAGTAGAAGAAGAACCTTGAAGTTCTTGATTGTTAGAACTGGTAATTCAGGGGTCAACTACTCTATCAAACTCCATCAAAATCCATCCGAAGATCGCTCAGTCTGTCAAACATTGCCTGCAGGTATAACAAAATGGAACCGAAGTAGAGCATTTGGATCAAATGGACGGGAGATAAATCCCTCGACCCTAAGTGCATGGCTAAATTTAGTTTGAAGCCAAGAGTCTACTATAACAATGAACCTGAGATGAAAGAGCTCGACCCCCCTCGAGGCCAATGGTGTCACCTGGAGAAGAAACCCTATTTCAAGTAGGACAAAGTGCCCCAGAACGGAAGTTCACGAACTCATAGATGCCTATGTAGGTAATGTGCATGGGTAGAAGTAGGTAAATCGAATTCGTGACGGATATCATATTGAGAAAAAGGAAAATTATAAAAAGATTGACAGACATCTCGTTAGCCCTGGAGGACTGTACGTAGACGACTTGATTAGTCTGTCGGCCACACTGCAGCATCAAAGGCCAACGAGAACAGACTCACAAATTAAGAGTTAGCACCCCATCCCGCAGAAAACCTCCAATCCTGGCTAACCTCTCCAATCCCTCTCACCAGACCTACAACATTATCAACAAACCCAGCCTCGCCATTATTAACCCTCCCTCGACGCTCGAGCTCAGCATCCGAAGCAGCACCACGAAGACCAAGCAACTGCTGCGTACTATACCCCTGCAAACGATCCGCATCCATCCTCGTCAAAACATCACCTTCACCCTGTCGCCGAGTCCACGCCGCCTGCTTAACAGCCGGAGCCCAGTACTCCGCCAAAGAAGACTCATCGCGATTAAACGCGTAGCATTTATCCAGTGCAGAGTCAGACTCGGGTCTAAGCGATGCATTCCAGCGTGTGTGGACGAGTTCGTACCTCTTCTCCATAAAGAAGATAACCGGCCACGCGATGATCCAGAGCTGGAGAAGGACAACAGCCCACCAGACGTAGCGGTTCGCGCGGAGCCGGTTAATCCAGTGAGGCGAGTAGATTGTGACAGAGCGTTGAGCGATGAATAGCTTGAAGCCTATGGAGCCGCGGTAGTTGAGTTCGCGGATATGGGAGGAGAGGACGTTGCGCATGGCGTTACAGTCGAACCCGGCAAGTTCGCGGTGCAGAGTGAATCTATATGATGATGATTGAGATTAGCAGGGTAATTTGTGTGCGAGTAGGGGGAGTATTTAAAGCATACGATTTCACCGAGGCGGGGTCACGACAGAACCGCTCGCACCACATCCTCAAGTTTTTCGCTTCCGGAGAGGTGTTATACCTCTCGTCGGCGTCATCGCGGGATAGGAGGGCATCGGTGTCCGCCGTGAGACTAATAGCAGCACGCGACTTGGGGGGGTTTGTACGTGCGTGAGCGGAGGATTCCTCCCCGATACGCGGGTTTGAGGTCCTCATCTGTGAGGATTTCTATTTCCCTCCAGTTTGTTTCCAGGGGGACGCCTTCCCAGCCGGTCAGCATGGTCTCGGCCAGATCCAGCTTGAACTTGAAGTCTGTGTGAGTGTTGCTTCTCTCTTTCTTTTTGTCATTGCTAGATTCGGTGTGGGTGCCGTGGACGTAGAGCAGCGGCCGTGGTGGCAGCTTAACTTGCCGGCGGATTACATCGTAGAGCTCCTCGGGGTCGCTTGAGAGTGATGGTTCGAGGGTGAGAGAGACCTTGTCGGTGGGTCTGATGTCTTTGCTGCCGGGGAGGACATAGGCTGAGTCGATTAGACGGAGGGGTCGGATGCTTGTGGGGGGCTGGACTGGTCGGATAGGTTGGGCATGTTGGACAGGGGCAAGAATGGGTTCGGGGTCATCTGTGTATGGAGGCGGCGCGTCGTCGAGAGAGTGGAGGGAGTGCGATGATGACGCAGGGGGATCGGCCTGGTGGAGGCGACCCATGACTTTGATAGTTTGGGGAAAGTAATGAAAGTGATCAAAATAAGTAAAGAGAGAAAAGATTTAAAAAAAGAAAATAAAAAGAAGAAACGAAAACAAAGATGTTGAGATGGGAAAGAGGGATTTCCAGATTTTCAAGGTTTTGAGGCTCTCAGGCCTATTGCTCTTTGGCGCTAAACATCGGGGGCTTGGTGAAGGCAACAGTCGGGCCTCTTTTGGGAGTTTCTGCCTTGTTGTGTTATAAAGACCCATCGGATCATATAGTACATTGAAACAGGTACTAACTCCAAGCTATGATGAAATATATAGCAACTTGCTTATATACTGGACTATCTACTCGAATATAATGGCGTTGGAAGACCTATTCCAGGAAAAGCTAGTGTAACAAGTAAAATGGTCTTTATAGTCAAATTATCGATCTATATACAGCTCGAGATGAATTTCTCCAATGTCGTATGGCATCAAACACTAAACATCAGTTTCTTTGGGTAGATGCTCCTTGCGCTTCCGGGTGAAAACCCGTTCAACGATATCGATTCCGAACCCAGTCCAGAGAGTCAATGCCAAAACAAAACACAACCCGCTGACCCAGCCGTGTGTTTTTGTGAATGTTGGCGCTTGTCCGCTAGGAAATTGCAGCTGTTGGAAGGGGATGACAACAGCCGATCCAAGACTGACCATGAACGCCAGAACAAATGCTCGTAACTGTTGATCTCCACCGCATGACGCGTTGACCCAACCTGCCAGAAGGGGTGTATAACATCCATAACATCCCGTGATAATGAACGCAGCCATCTTCAACCCTCTTGATTCAGGCCAGGCCGTGAAGATAGCATAGCAGAAGGTGAGGAGACATCCAACTGCGAAACAGACGGGTCCTCGTCGGCCGAGCTTATCGGCGACATATCCCGTCCCAACCATGAAAGTAAAATTGATCGCGCCCATGGATGTGGGAATGTTGTTGATTTGAGGTACGGAGTATACTTTCAGAGACTTGAGCCAAATCCCGAAGTACTGCATCACATAGGACCCGCAGGTGAGAGACCAGAAGGCGTAGGCGAGGGAAAAAGTATAGAATTGCCAGGATAGCAGGACGCGTTTGAAAACAGTGGTGTCCAGTTTTCCAACGGGCGTGCGACCTTCTTCGTCGATTCTCTCTCTCGCCCGATTTCTTTCCCATTCGGAGAGATAGAATGCGGTAGTGTTCTGAGGCGTATCGGGGTAAAATATAAAACCGTAGAGGGCGACTGGAATGGCAAGGATGAAATCAAAAATGAAGAGCCATCTCCATGCGGATAATCCACCTTTTCCATCCATGTCTTTGAACAGTGCTGCTTGCAAGTATCCTGAAAACATCTGTCCCAGGACTCCGGACATCACGAAAAGACCACTTCGACGCGAGAGTTCAGACTTGCGATACCAACATCCAAGAACATACTGAATTCCAGGCCATGCGGCGGACTCGAAAAATCCAATACAAAATCGAAGACCGTAGAGCTGAGATGCGTGGTTGCACTTGTACATGAAAAGTACGAAGAGCGACCAGGTGAACAAAACACTAGGGAGCAAGATCCTCGGTCGAACAACAGTTAAGGCGAGATTGGAAATTGGTCCTCCGAGGATTGCACCAATACTGAAGTATGTGTTCATCCAGCTCAATTCATTGCCTGGTCCGAATCCAAGTTCTTCTTTCATGCCGGAGACGTAGGCATTGGACACATTGTTGCCATCTAGCTGCTTGATGAAAAAGCATAAACAACTGTAGCTGAGAAGAAAGAAGTCGAGTTTGAAGATGAGTTTTTTGTCGGCTTTGGAAGTACCCGGTTCATGCCAATGGAACCAACGCTGAGGCTCCTGAACATTCTCAGTTTGGACTGTCGACCTCTCCAAGCTGTGAGATGAACCCGTCATGGTATTTTTGCGATCTTGTACATCTGAGGCGTTATTCAACTCTCTAGGAATTGGAGTTGGCTTTTGAACCTCTGTCTCTTCGGTTGAGATAGGCATTACGAACAAAATCCGATGCGCAAGAGTCCATGCTGAGAATAATTACGAGCGAGATAGCAACTATAAGAAACTAACAATCTAGAACGATAGCAAAGAAAAAAGTCCAAATAAGGTTATTACGACATTTGTGACAACAGTTGCGTAGATTCTCCTCTTTAAACATCAGGGGGAGTGTGGATTCTCTTCCTCAAACGGAAACATTTCTCGGTGCGGGGCCGACATCGCGAGATCGCGACATCGCGACAGGAGCTTGTTTGACACGTTCTTCTCTCTCTGGGATTTTGTTCCTGGAATTTGAAAGTTGTACATCCTGTCCTTGCAGTATTTTGTCCTGAATTGGGATCAATACATACACTTTGTCACTGGTTTGCTCATTCCTCTCGATCCGATTTAACTTCCTTTTTTTTCAAATATCTTTGTATACCAACACAGTATGGTTGAATTTGTTTCTATCAATGGTGCCCAGTTAGCATACCGTTTGATCGGTCCTGAGAATGCACCTCTGATAATCACCCTGCACGGCGGCCGAGGGTTTGGTGAGCCTCCATAACATCCACCTGTAAATGTCTATGGATCGCTGATAAGCTGCTTTACAACTGTAACAGGAGACCATAAATCAGACTTCAAAGCATACTCACCACTCTCCTCTTCCTATCGGGTACTTTCCTTCGACTTTCGAGGACATGGTCAAAGTTCACGAACAGAGCCTTTTACCTTTCATCAACTAGTTGAAGATATTGAGGGAATACGGCGGCATTTCCTTGGAGCCGATCAACCCTGTATTGTATGCGGTGGTAGCTTCGGTGGATTCCTGGCTCAACAGTATGCAATCACGTATCCATCTCGACTTTCACATTTGATTCTTCGAGGAACGGCTCCTTCGCACCACCGTAAGTACCATCTTGGATTTGATCTCGTGGGATTTTCAGGATGAATTTCAAATATTAACATGATATTTATGCTAACTGAACTTAGATGAAGAAACGGCTATTCAGACTCTGGAGCAAAGAGCATCTAAAGCCCCGGGTCTTTCCATCACATTTCTGAAAGACAAGATATTTGGTCGATTTGAAAGCGATCTCGAATTCCGACTCGTTATGTACGCAGCTGCACCGCTATATAGCGAGCACTTCGATCCCAATATAGCCTTGAAACACAACATTGAAACCGTGTTTTATGCAAAGTCCCATAGTGAGTGGCTATCCGATTGCCACGAATTCAAACTGACCACCAAAAGATGATCTTTATTCCGAACAGGAAAAATACTTCGATTACAGAGATCAACTTCACTCAATCACAGCGAATACTCTGGTTATTGTAGGTGATCGTGACTGGATTTGCCCGCCGGAGCAATCCAAAACCATTGCTTCGAAGATTCCTGGTGCGGACCTGAAGGTTATTGAGAATGCCAATCATGGCGTGCATCTAGAAAAAAATGCGGAAGTGATTGAGCTCATTAAGAAACATGTTTCATGAGATTTAGTTAACTAGTCAGATATACATTCCACTCTGATTATGTCTCTGTACGCCTGTACTCCTAATTGTTTTTATAGTAGTTTTATGGTCCCTAGTTATACATAGAAAAGAGGCATCCAAGGAAACACCTAAAGAGAGCATCCAAAAAGACAACCCGCAAGACATGGGCGACTATTCTCGTAAAAATAACTCGAAATGTTCACAAATTATGATGTGCTGTAGAAAAAGTAGATGATACACCATTTCTCGGTAGCTTTTTCCCATCTAGGAAGAGATACATTGAGATAATGCTCGGCAAGTTTCCGAAAAGGATTTCCACGTTGAGACTGTTCGGCATTTCGCATGGGTGAAAGAAATCGCGATGATGCTCGGCGAACTTCCGAAAATAATTTCCACTTTGGGACTGGTGGCCGTTGAGTCGCATCACCTAACAACCCGTAAATAATGCGTGATTTAAATGTCATTTTGAAGTATCGTACATATGTAGCGATATTAATTTGTGATGAAGATATCGAAGATCGATTCCTTTTGGTATTGACATTTACTGCTGAGGTCTGTCACACATACCCAGCAATGGCAACCAACCCAGGCATAAACATCTCTATCGGTACGTACTTTCGCTATGCCATTAAACTAAAGACACAAGTTAATTGTTTATTCAGATCGCGGGGGCACATTTTGCGATGTCCTAGTACAAGTACCCGGTCGCGATGACCTTGTATTCAAACTGCTATCAGAAGATCCGCAGAACTATCGTGATGCCCCCACAGAGGCAATCAGAAGGGCGCTAGAGATTATAGAAGGACGCCAAATACCCGTTGGCGAACAGCTAGACGGGTCCCAGATAGCATCCTGTCGTATCGGGACAACGATTGCGACAAATGCATTGCTGGAAGGCAAAGGTCGAGAATTTGCATTTGTCACGACCAAAGGCTTCAAAGATGTCTGCGTTATCGATGACCAGACACGACCGAAATTGTTCGCGTTGAATGTCCGAAAACCTCCTGCATTATATGCAATTTCAGCAGAAATTGACGAACGCATCACGATCGAGGACTACGATCTCAATCCATTCCCTTTGGACAAGACAGCCGAAATCACAGATCCCGCACTGGTACGAACGCCTAGCGGGGAAGTGATAAGGATCTTAAAGGCCCTCGATCCGGTCGAGGTTCGAGATGTATTGAGCGGGCTGCAATCAGCAGGCTATACATCTTTGGTTATTTCCTTCGTGCATTCATATCTGTACCCTGCCCATGAGGAGCAGGTAGCGCAGATCGCACAAGAGATGGGCTTTGAAACCGTGATCAAAGCTTCCGATGTCAGCCCCGTTATCAAATTCTTGCAACGCAGCACATCGGCTTCTTCCGAAGCATATCTGTACCCAATTGTCAGAGATTATGTCACAGCATTCCAGGCCGGGTTTAGTGTACTCCCTCAACGTGTGGAGTTCATGGGATCCGACGGAGGCTTGAGACAAGCTGACAAGTTCCGTGGCAATGAAGCTCTTCTGAGTGGAC